ACTAGTGGTCCACGCGGTCCTTGTGGTCCGGACCGGTTGCCGAGGGGTCCGTTGCTGGTCCGTTGCCACTGCACACCTCCTCTGTATAATAAAGCTTTATTTGTAGAGCACTTTTCAACACGGGGAACAAAGAGCTTTAAAACAATCATCTGTCAATAAAGGAAAATAAATGAGCATCACACAGTGAAAGCTTTTTGTAGAAATGTGTCTAAGAAGTGAGATGAAACCAGGAGCAGACTCTGAGCCGTAGGGGCCTGACAGCAGAGACCCTGTCCCCTTTGGCTTTGAGCCTAGACTTTGGAGCAGTTAGCAGAGCCCTACTAGAGGATCTCAGTCTGCGTCCTGGCTCATATGGGGAAAAGCTCAGAGAAGGTGCGTGCCCATGTCTGGCCTTAAAAGTGATCAGAAGGATTTTAAAGTGTGCGTCCTAAAAGAAAATCTTTAGTTTTATATCATTACATCAACAATTGTGTGGCTGCACAGTTACAACAGTGGTACTCACTAAATGTTGGTTTAGGATACGACCATTGGAATAACATGAAACTTTCCTCTTTCATTAATGTAGAGTTATGACCAGCAGGGGGCATAATAGACTAGCCTATACCCTTAATCCTGATGAAATGGTAAAATAATGACAATGTCCTGATTTTAACCAGGTGCGCGGGTGGGAACTAACATCATTTAAGATTAATTATCGACCAAGTCTTAATTGAATAGCTGGAATATCATACAGCACAGAAAGCAGTGTGAATACCATTTAAACTGCCTACTGAAGTCATTCATTAACAGAAACGTTACCATCTGCATCTGACTCTACATCAAAAACACCCACAGAGCTAGACAACCACGAGAAAGGTTTTTATTTCAAAGATACCCCATCAATTGCCCGTCATTGGCCCATGGGTTTATAATGCAATCCAATAAACACCAGCAGAATAACCAGAGATCAATATCTTCCTGCCTAATCTCAACAAAAAATATCATTATATCCTTCAAAACACAACATTTATTGCAGGGCTACATTAGGTCCAAAGCCTGTAAATGCCAAGAGTGAAAGTAACCCCTACAGCCATCCCATATGCCACTGAGGGCTCAGCTGCAGGATTTAGCACATTTTTGATGTGTAAAGAGGACACGGTATCATATCAAGTCTGGCATTTCCCCACAATAGCGTATTGCAGCGGTGCATTTCAAGGCAGATGGAGTTGCTTGAGAGGTGCAAGTAGAGAAGACAGGGGTTGAACTCAATCGACTGTTAGGAGTCTGTGGGTTTCTGTTTACATGGTGCAGAAAGGCATAAATAAATTAAACAACGTGACAAGCGCTGTGTCTTGGCGAGGAGAACGAGGGATGAGAAAGGTAGGTGTCTCAGAAGGACCATCTCTCCTTTGCGGCGTCCATGTAGAGGGTGGATACTCTGATGGGAGTTATAACTAGTGGACTCCTTATTTAAGTCCTATTGCACACGATGCTCAGGCTGTTCTGTGACCTTTGTCTGGTAAGTCAAATATACCTCAGCAAAATCCCACACTGCTAATGTTAAATGACTGGTATAGTAGGGCAACTTCAACATGGGTGAACTAATTCTGCATTTAGCATCTAATAATGTTTAGTTGATTGTAATTTCACATTCCTTTAAGGCAATTCTAAAGGTAAAGCTGGCAAAATGATATTATACGTGCTATTGTTTGTTACTGTAAGTGCCATTAACCTCCATTCCTCTCCTAGAACACATTAATTCGTCACGTATTTGCACTGGGAAACACTGTTCCTTCATTACAATAAACAATAGGAAATGTTTATTTTTAGTCGACACATAAATGTTTCTACCAGGTAGCATGTTCTAAATTCCTTTAGGTCCTAATGCCTGAATGAGCACTGTGAATATCATCAACTATTAAATGCCATTAAGGATCTGTTTTGTGAGTTTATTTACAAAAGCTCAACTCTCTTTGTTATGACTCACCAGTTCCAGCCATGGTACTATCCATTCTGAATGAAAGAAGTGGTTACAGGGCAGCTGTCTGAATGGCTCTCCCACTGCGAAGTTCTCTGTGCACTGGACACTGCACACAGCAGTCTACAGGAGAAAAGAAATGTTTATCAAGACCCCTGTGGTTACTAGGGGTGGGGAAAATAAGTACATAAATCGATACTTCACAGGGTTTATTATCAATGTGCAACTAACAGACTGTATATAAAAAAGCAACTAATGATTTTCACTCGCACAGTGTGAGCACGGTAACATTAACAGTTGGCTCCCTCTCCTCATTCTGCAAAGGACACCTACGTGACAGGCAGCAGAAAATGACAAGCGAATGTGAAAGCAAGAGGAGCAGAGGAAAATACGAGCAATAAGCTGTCAGTGTGGCAGTAAATGTACAGTGTAGGTCGAGTGTGTCCGCTAATAATAAGTCTGTTGTTTCCCTACTTGCTGGAAAGTGAAGGCAGTAAGCGCCAGCAAACATCTCCCCTGGGCTGCAGACTTCTGAACACTGAAATGGAAAGCTAACAGTACATTAATACACTAATAATAATCAATACACCGAGTACATAAATTAACAAAATGTCCATGGTACTAAAAACAAGATCACAATAATCAACTTACAAGACTCCACACAACACAATAACTACAGTAGACGAGACAAAAAAAAGAGCAGATCTATTTCCGTAAGGCGGAGTGAACATGGTGTGGTTGGAGCATTGTAAAGTGCGTAGTTCAACATGTATCTGCATCTATACTAATAGCAGCAGCATCAGAAATAAAAATAGCAGCAACAGGAGTCACTAATAATGCTATGTAGCTACATTTATAGGACGTAAAGTTAGCTCCACTCACTTTTGTCTCAAACCTGCAATCAGACACACGTGCTGTCAGTTTATCCATTTTGTCTTGCAGCCATTCACATTTCATACTGACAGATGGGAGAGGAGAGATCTTCTCTATCAGCTGGAGGAGGGCCTGTGTTCTGCAACTGACCCAGTAACTACACTGACAAAAACACATCTGTGAGCTGCAAAGAAATGAAAAGGTGGCAGGGAAAAGTTTGAGTTAAGTTCTATTAAGTTTGGTTTACCTGTGTTATCACGGCATCTAACCCTCTCATTCCTCAGGGATTCATTATCCCCTGGATTAGAGTGCAGGATACCGTCCTGAGAGAGACAGACACCACATGTTAATTAGAAACAATGCTTACACTGCCACTAGACCTTACACTGTGAAGCTATTATAATGTAATCTTACCTTGAGAGGGGAGGTAAGCTAGGGAATCCAGAGTTGGCAAAGAGACTGGCAAGAAACTGTTGTATAATCCTGAGACACAGAGAGAAATATACTGTCATCAAAAAGAAGAACAGTTGGGATTGTAAGAGCATAAATGCCACTGTTATTATAAATGGGTGTATGCAAGGCGGAGAAGAGAGCCAAGAGGAGGGTAAAGAAGACTGAAGCTGAACTGCTCAATTACTCCCCCCTCCACAGCAGGTGAGCGGTCTGGTCTACCGGTATCTCCTCTAGCTGACACGGAGAGACTGACTGGGAAACAACAAGGGAACAGTACAGAGGCATGGCCAAAACATTATCTATGGCTAGACTACCAATCGGTCCCGCCAGAGTGTCCACATCCTGGACTTGTCGCGTCTGTGCACGGCTTGGACCGAATCGGTTAGCAGGAACTTTTACTCTTTCTTGCCAATTCAGAACAGGAACTGCAGCCGCAGCCCCTTGTTGAGCAGTGTCGGATCCAAAAATCTCTGCCATGGCTGTGAGCGGTTGTGTTTGCCTCTGAAGACGTCCTTGGACAAATATCTGATATGGCGAGGCCAACAGGGCGCGAGCCACGGTTGTTCCGTTGTTGCCTGAAAACCTCCAGGTCCCGGTTAATCCGTGGCAGGTAAACATAATGCAGCGCCCACAAGTGCAGCTCATTGGTACAGTCAATGATTCTTTCATTTTCAAGGAAGGTGAAAAGCTGGTGGTCCACATTAGTCATACCTCTCCAGAGATCTCCCCAAAGCCTCTCCATCCGCTGGTTATGGACACTTCTGCCCCGGATGGCACTTCCTCTTTCTAATCCACGGTAAATGTTCATGAACAAGCAGACAGCATTGTTTTCTCCCCCATGGTCACACCTTATTCGAGACTCCATACCTAGCAGTGGCTTGAACAAACTGGTCAAACACTGTGCAACTTCTGTTATTATCTGAAGCCTGCAAAAACACAACCGGCCTGCTGAAGCCACAGATTCCGCCATGGATCACTATTCTCCATCTACAAACGAAACAAAAAGCTGTTATTCTGTGTTAAGATTACATTAATAAATTCAGGATACTATGCTTACCCCTGCCAAAAATATAGGGGTGCAGTCAAAGTGCAATTTTGTACATAATGCAGTGTTTCCCACAGGATGACAGCGTAACTGTGGCCGGGGGGGGGGCAGTGGACATTGACTAGTAGCCATGTACAGTGTCCTAACCTCGGCCACCCAGCTGTAGGCTATTCTTAACATAACTAGGCTCCATACATGCTTACTAATAACTTATTTGAAGGTGGGTCTCAGAAATTGACAGCGTCGTGTTGGACAGATTTGTGCAGCCGTGTTTATGATACTAACGTCGACCATTCAGCTTCAGATGGATTCAGTGATCTTCTCTGCGCGGAAAAGCTGGCAACAAGCCTTCCTGCAGCGCATGATCATGTTTTGATTCAGGCTGCACAAAGAGGAGCAGCTGTTTACAGACGGTTCAGTTGTCAATGTGTTTGTGAGAGAGGGGGGAGGTAGCGAGGTGCTGAGCGAATACATGCACTGCACGCAACTCTACAGTCAAATACCACGGATCCATTTCAAATAGTACAAATAATTAAATAATCTTCAATTTGTGGCAGTCAGCGTTGATATTGTGGCGGACCACCACAAATACATTATGTATGGGAAACACTGTCATGTAACGTCAGTCATCAATAATACAAAACAGACACGCAGAAAACATCTCATAATTACAAGTAACATAACAGAGGACACCTCAATTTATAAAAACCTGATGACAGTTCAATAAACTAGGAAAGAAACCTGAATATTAACTTGTGTCCTAACAACATGCATCTGTGCAGGATCTGTGCTTGTTTATTCTGATGTCATCATAGTTCATCAGAAGTAACGCACACCAGTACGGCAAAAACAAATTCATATTTGCATGCAGAATATTCACTCTTAAAGTGAAAAGCTTGCACTGAAGAGCCCTGTAAATGATTCTGTTAGTTGAGTGTTTAGTCTCACTGTAACTAATTTATCATCCGCATGTACCTGATGAGTTTGTGGTTCCCATCTATGTGCCACAGCGAGTTGGGTCCTGCAGCACTGTAGGTTCTCCGGTGCAGTCGGTGAGACAACGCTCTGGATTCACTCCAATCAAACTCTCTCTCACTCTTCTCCTCTGCACTCAAACAGCCATAGCAGCCAGTCTGGCCAAAACAGCATTTGCTCCCATCTCTTCATTTTCTCCAACCGACTGCAGCTTGACTTGACTTCATCAAGTTCTGCATTAGAAAGACGTGCAGACCTCATCAGGTAGGGCAAGTTGAAGCGCCTGGGAGAGAACAGAACTCAATTTCAATCTGAGTGTATCTGCATTTTACTGAACGTGACCATCTTACACAAACTTCTGATAAAGATAACATCAATAATAATAGCAGCTTCAGTGATAACTACACCTTGAAGAAAAAAATAAACACATGTTTAAAAGTTATCCTCAAGAACGTTTTTCCTCAATAATAAACTAAACCAAACTATTGGTTTGGAGTGTAAAGAACATGGCCATTGGTTTTCATGCTCAGAATGACCAAGTGTGTCACCCAAATTTAATGTCTGACCTATATGCATTACATTACGATACTGAACTTTAGCTTATTCCACTTTACCCACTGCCAGCTTGAGAAGTCTACCCATTTCACTGAACATATAGTAAGATAGAAAACAAAAATCTAGTGAATAAATTGACAAAAGAACACAATATTTTGTGTCGCCTTGTAACTGTTGTTCATACCTCAATCTTCGTTTAACTGCACTGACTGATACATCCAGGATTTCAGCAATTTGCGTAGCTACAAATCCACATGAAAGCAGGAATCTCAGGTGTTCTTCAGTGATTAGGTAGCTGGATCGTCCAAAATCACCTGTCCGGACCAATGGGGCTTGATACCCGGAGGTCTCTAATGCTGCCAAAACAGAATACATGACCAGATATGAACCAATATGCATGCCTGTCAGCCACTATTATCAAATTATTGTTTTATAAGGCTCATTTAAAATCGACACAGCAGACAGGACGCAGCATTCTCTCATGATTAGAGCTATATTTGATTACACTCATACAGGTGAAGTTGTGCAGGGATAGAGATGAGATGTTGATGGCGGTGTATTACCCTGGTGTTTTTAGCCTGTGGAAAAACCCTCTACATTTAATGTAGTTTACCTTCAAATACAATTTCTGTCTAAACATAGGAATGAAGTAATAAGTTACCACTGCTTTGCTGCTAAAGGTGCAAGGAAACTTGCATATCATGCACACAGATGAGGGATGAGGCCAGCCGACTTCTTTGTTCCACAGGTGAGCTGGCTGCCTGATTGGCTTACGCTGGTATTCTTACCTTCGAGTGGTTGGGTACGACCAGCCGTCTTATTTTTGTTTTTTCTCGGTTATTTTATAGGGACCAATACATCTAACATAGATAAACTAAATGGGTGTAGAGCAGAGGTTTTGGTAGAGCCTCTCCGGAAAGAGAAGGCAACACTCCTCCATGCAGCAGCGCCACAGCCATCATAACTCCATAGGTTCTGTAGAGACCTCTGTGTAATGCTGCATAATGGAAATGTAGAACAATACATTTTGCAGTGGTTAACAGGTGGCAAATCTCTGCAGAATAAGGTGTTTATAACTCAAATCTAAAATCTTAATCCGCCAGGAATACAATCAATTTGTTAGAATATGACTTAGATTAATGGCATGTGTGGGTACTAACCGTGGCTGTCCAGGGACAGGTTCTTACTGTGGCCCTGTAAATAGGCTGCTATCTCTGAGAGCAGTCGGAAAAACCCCCGTGTAGGGCCCCCCTCATCCACTGAACCTTCTGCTTGCATGAAGTCATCCATAAATATGACGCTTAATTTGGCCTCTGGATTGAAACTCCTTCTTGTAAAGGCTCGCATGGCACCATCCATTATGTTTTCTCTGCATACATTGATCATATTACTGCTGGGCGTCTCTCCAATCCAGACTTTTGATGCCAGAGTTGTCAGTAAGGTTTTCAGATCTGGTCTAGAACAACAACCACCAGAAACCTTTTTCAGGTGGGACTTGCAACATTCAAAATCTGTATGTAGCACTTTATTGGCCTGATGGCCGCGACTCATTTAATCCATTAATGGAAGTATGAAACTAGCACTTACTCGGTAGTTTCTTTGACATGACTCAAATCCAGGAAGCCAGCAGTGGTATCAGAGGACCCAGATGAGATGTTTTGAGGAGGGGTCTCTTCAGGAACCAGAGTGTCCTGACAAAACACAAACACCTGAGTAAAGACATTACCATTAAATACAACATTACAAAATATAGGCCTACAGCTTGCACTAACGTAAGTGTTTAACATACTTTACCTGGGCGAAGAGGGGACATTTTATAAAACACTGCTGTGTGCTTACCCTTTCCTGCTCAGTTTGCAGACTTTGTATGTATTCCTCATCTTGTCTTGTGAAGTGCACGCCACTCATGTAAATCCTAGAGGAAACATTAAAAATGTAAAAACATTATATTAGTAGTTTTATATTCAGTCCCTAGTAAAGACAAAAGCTTACATCAGCATCATCATCTGCTACTTCCACTCTCTCTGTGTCATGAGATTCACGTTCGAGCTGTAAAACATGCTTACTGTTACATTACAATGGCAACAATCGCTTGTCTAACATTTCAAAAGGAAATTACTTTTGGTTGGGTAATAATTTTGATAAAAAATGTTAATTGGATAATGATAGTGCTGATAACTGTACTTACATCCCTCGCCATTGTATTAGGTCTCTCCAGGCAGTTTTGTGAAGTATGGACCTCCTGTACATCCTTCAAAATACCAGAACGCCCCATTTGTTGGCCAAAGATGCAATATGCCATTATGAAATATACAACAAGCCTAGAAAGAGCTTAAAATGGGTGCCCATATCATCTTGGTCCAGGTTTTGGCCAGAGTTCGAGACCTCTTCTGCATCCTAAAGAGACAAAAACAACACGTATTGTTTATTTGATCTGGATGTTTACACTAGAGCCCGACTGATATGGGTTTTTGGGGGCCAATGCAGATTTTAAAGTGATATTTAGATTTTGAAAAGGATTTGGATAATAGACCGCTTTCTGGTATAAACTACACTTAGAACAGGCCGTTTTATAAAACCTTTTCCTAATTGGATTATGTTAATAAAATAGATTACCGTCTCAACAACTGAACATTTAAACAACTGCTCATCAATAAATATTTGCTGCTAGAAGGTGGAACTTTTTCAGCCATCTGTAAACAGAAGCAGCATGTGTATTTTACCTTACACATATTGACCATTTTCAATGCAGCATATTCACATCTAGTTTTATCCCCTTACCAGCACTCTTAATTCTATCCAAAGCTACAAGAAACCATTTCTCAACCATATGGCTCTAAAACACACCGTCTACGATACAGTGACCTGCTCTTGAATGTCTCCAATACTACATGACTGTCTACAACCAGGACTTGCAACTTTGAGATTTCATTTCACTATAAATGAAGCTGATGTTTTCTTTTGTGGTTTTTGTGGTGACGCAGTGTTAACAGGGGAGCTGCAAAGCGCCACCTGGTGGGCAATCTATGACACTCATGACATGAGTGATCTAACTCAGTCTTCTTTTTTTAATAGTCATATTGGATGTTATAAACGGCAATTTAAATGTAATTGGATCAGATCGGCTGGCCGATACATTTGTCGGGTTCTAGTTTACGCCCACAATATACTGCTAAAATTATGCCTGCGTTACAGATTTGATGGTGGTAAAAACCAAACAAACAAAAACCATCTTGCTGTTCTCCAACCTGCTCTTCCAGACTCTCCTTTTAAAAAGTAGAGTGAAAGTTGCTATAACATGGTTCAGTTATATGCATCGGTGTTCCAGCGCATCAATAGGAATGAGCCATTACAGATTCAGATGATTAAGACGACATTCAGCTCAGGGTATGATCAGTGTACAGTACCTTTGGGAGTATATATATAAAGCTGATCGATTCAGCTCTCTGCTGGCTTTCAGCACAGATGGTGATAGTGGACAAACTTGAAGTCTTGTGGTTTCTTTATGACAATCTACTCTTGCCAACTCAAAATCAGTGTCGCCCACTCTTGGAAACGCATTTCTGAGGACAGCGTTGAACTCCTCAGCAGACAAGGACACTGGCACCTTAACTTTTCTTCTAAGCTTCCGCTACAATGAAAATTGCACAAAGAAAAATCACTACAAGGTATTTGTGAAGCAGTCTCTTCAGAACATACAATGCAGTGTTTCCCTTACTCAGCAGTGTAAATTACAGGCAGACCCATTTTGGATTTTACGTCTGATGCTATGAAGGAAATTGTGGGTGGAAAATTCCAGCAGACGAGCTCCGTCTTTTTAGCGACTTTATAAAACGTGGAAAAAGTTACCGGAGCAGACGCATCCAGGGAGAGAGAGGCGGAGAGAGGCGGAGAGAGGCGGGGAGAGGCGGAGAGAGGCGGGGCACGCCGCTGTGTTTGCAGCAGGTGTGTGCGCAAGCGTGAGGAAAAGGGAACTGAAGGGAAAGGGCGCAGATTCAATTATAGTGTAAGCTGTAAAATAAGTGATTAAAATGTCAAATAGAAAATGCCTCCCCACTGCCCAAGTTGTTTGTCTGTGGGAAACACTACAGTGCATATGTAATTAAACATACCTTTTTGTGGGTGGAATGTTTCCATATCAGGATGGAGGAGGAGACCAACTCTGAAAGTTGCAAGTCTTGTTTGCTCCCTTCTCCTCGGTCCTCTGATGGGAGTATTTTGTCTGAACATCCTCAGCCTGAAAAGGTGACAGAAAATGAGAGACCCGGAAATGCAAAGCCAGAAGCCCAGATAGTCAATGTCGCCGGGAAAAAACCCATAACATATCCATAACTAATGGCAAGAGGTAAATTAATGGCAATTAATATTAAGATAGGCCTATTAAATATAATACATGCGAGGTGGCCATTAGGACATCCTCCCCTGCTTTAATCATAAGATGTACTATGTTAAACTTAAGACGGCGCTCGTCTGCAGAAAGGCAGAGTCCCAGCCTAATAAAGCGCTATTAATCCTTCATCACGGTGTGCCACAACCAAACTGAAAGGAAACTTGGCTGAACGCAAAAGCATCTCAATAAATCTGATTTATATGGAAAAATTCAGCTCTTTGCCCCACAAATTTTACCAAATGGATCTACAACTGAGGGCTGACAAACGACAGAATCACCACCATGTAGCTACAGTCGGTGTCTATTCATAGTCGGGGGCCCGGCCAGGGGGGAAAGCTTGAACAGCACAGTTTTTAAACTCACGTGCTGATGTCAGCAAGGTGTCACGTCTTATACAGAGACCTTGCTGTCACTTGACAAAGATTTCACTGCCGTCAATAAATATTTTAAACTGAGCTGCTGAAACATTCGGCGTGAGTGCAGTCCTGCATTTATTAAAACCTTTAACAGCAGAAATGTTTCTATCAAAAGGTGTCATTTGCAGCATTTTTGCTGAGTTAGCTTGCTACATAGTTGGCTAATGTTGGCAAACACTACAACAACACTTCAAGTCTCCCCAATTAAATTCACTGAGGCGACATCACAGAATATTTCATTAACGCTACTCAAACATGATTTATGTTTATTTATGATTATATTATTAAATCTGTTACTCATGGCACTCACCTAATCTCAAGCATAGATCAAAGAGGCTGCAAATGAGTGGGGGAGGGGAGGCAGTGTTGTGATTGGCTGCAGCTTAACAAGCAATTAAGCAACCTGTAACTGACTTGCACTGGTATTACAACGCTAGAAATCAGCACCAGAAGCTCCACATGTTTAAGGTTATATGCACTTGTTTTAGGTAGTTAAAAATAATTGGAATACAGGCTACCTAATTTATTGTAAGTGTTCTGATGCGCAGTGAGTTAAATGTAAGACATAATCACAAATTGTGTAATTCTAATAACTTACTGAGAATTCAGTATAATCAAAACTGAGTTGAAGCAGCCAAATGTGAGCATCTAATGAGCTCTGATCTAGGCAATGAGTGAGTGTATGAGAGGGAGTCACAGCTTTACAGTTCTATCATGCTGCCTGCAACAGTTGCTCCACTTGGGGGGTTAAACCCAAAGGCCAACCTATTGTAGCCATCAGTGATGCTCTACTAGAGCCATTATCTATTAATGAACTGTTTTCATCACTTTCTTAAACCATCTGTTCAGACGCTTCCATCATATATTAAAGATAGATATCAACATTAAAAAAGTTACCCAATGATGTTATTCTGGCCACCTTAGATGTGGAAAGCCTCTACACAAAGATTTTCCTTGTAAGAGGTCTTGAGTATTATCTGCACAGAGGAAGCACTACCACCCTGTCCATTTATTTGTGAGCTAATTTGGTCCTTAAACTGAACTACTTCTCCTTCATTGGAGATTTCTTCCTACAATGTAAAGGAGCATTGATGAGTTCTACTTTTTGCACAGGAATATGCTCATTTATATGTTTTTGTTTTCACACACATTATGTTTTTAAGACTAACAGGAACCCCCTGACCTTAAGTTCTCTGTTGAATATGATCATAAACATTTGTCTTTATTGGATATGATGGAATTATGCAGTGGCAGCCGTATCTCAAAATAAACAGATAAGACTGCATTCTGCCTAGCCAGCAGTGCTTATCGAGCTCTGCAATACGGTTTACCCAAGAGTCATTTACGCTCAAATGTCATTCTACTGAGGAACTAATTGATAAGCTGCTGCAATGAAAAAAGAGCTTTCGGGACAGAGCCTACTCTTTACAGTGTATTGATGAGGCTTACCAAAGTGCATTTCAATTCTGGAACGATCTTTTACAAAACAAAATAGGGTAAAAGTTACTCTGTCAGAACGCTATTCTTAAACACTGGCCTCTGATCCGGCATTAGCATACCCAGCATTTTAATGATCCTCCCCTCTTTGTCTATAGAAGAGCTGCTAACTTATGCAACACGCTGGCACAGAGATAATATTAAGGCAGGTTTTAAACAGAATATTTTAGCTCCTGGAAAAGATGGGAATAATCCATCTGGCAATTGTGCCAAACAACAAGGGAAAATCCTCAATGTGGATTTTGATGTGTTGTGCTGTAATCCAAGATGTTTCTTTTCTTCATCTCTCATGTACAGTTTATGGTCTATGGTTTGTGGCGCCCCTCACCTGATAACCATTAGTCCTTTTCTTATAGATCTGGGGGACTTCTGATTTATGATGGCTCAAGCCTGATCCCTCTCAAATTCCCATTTCCTTTGTCATTACATTGTATTGTGTTATTAAGGGACAAGTAAGGCTTCTATTGGCATGCATGACAGTACGCCATTCAGTACTCAAAACCTCAATTCCCAGGAAGTGGAGCCTCTGTCATCAGGGCTTGCACATAGACTCACAGTAAATGGGCGTGCACAGATGTGTTGGTACTGCCAGTGACTGGAATGTGATTGGTTATTTTTGCCTGCCTATCCAATGTTGAGTTACGCTCTGATGAAGGTCTGTTAGACCGAAACCTTAATAAACTGCATAGATTTAAGTGTGTTGATCTCTCTTTTATCAGTTTGGACTCATTGATGCTTCCAGCACCTTAGCAAAAATTAAGCCGGGTGGAGCAGTGGTCATCCTGCTTTATTTCTGTCTGTTTATAAAACAGAATTACTAAAAAATAAAACAGAGTGAAAAGACATGGATGGATTTATTAAAGTGCAATTTAAACTTTTATTTTGTATTTATATAGTTATTTATGACTGATATAGTGTATGGACTTGATGGCTGTCAAAGCTTTCAGGCTTGGAGACGCTTCAAGATGGAAAACATAAGACTTGATTCACCGGATTTTAACACATTCAATAAAAAGTGACTTTAGTTTAAACCAAACAAAAGACTAAAGTGAAAAACAATATCTGGCTGGTGTCTCAACCATTTGGACACACCTGTGTCAATTACTAGACAGCGGACGCAAAGTGGCTTACATGTCATCTCAAAGCTCATAACAAGGCAAAGAAATTATCACTAAGATGAAACCCTCGTACTGCTCTCTAGACATCATCTCTCCTAAGTGTCTTAAATTAGTTATTGATTCAGTTGGGCCAGGATTGGTTTCCTTTATTAATAAGTGCCTCCTTACCGGCTCTATCCCTGCTGCCCTTAAGGAGGCCACTGTCACTCCGTTACTCAAGAAGCCCTCACTGGATCCTACCGTGTTAAATAACTTCCGCCCTATCTCTGTTTTGCCTTTTGTCTCTAAGGTGTTAGAAAAAGTTGTGCTTGACCAACTCCAGATCTTTCTAAAACGCAATGATATTTCTGAAAAATTTCAATCTGGTTTTAAGTCTGCTCACAGTACTGAATCTGCTCTGCTGAGAGTTTTAAATGACATCTATCGTTCCACTGACACTGGTGATTCTGTGGCTCTTATTCTTCTGGATCTGTCGGCAGCTTTTGATACGATCGACCACTCCATCCTGTTATCCAGACTAGAATGTGATGTGGGGCTAAAAGGCATCGTCCTCCAGTGGTTCCAGTCTTATCTCTCGGGTCGTACTTTCAGAGTAAAGCTAGGAAATTGCTCATCGTCTGTTGCGCCTCTAACCTATGGCCTTCCTCAAGGATCTATCTTAGCGCCTTCTCTCTTTTCCCTCTACATGTTACCGCTGGGCAACATTCTAAGAAGACATGGGGTATCTTTTCACTGTTATGCAGACGACACCCAAATGTACGTTCCAATCAAGAGAAATGATCCCTCTGCCCTTTCATCATTCTTAGGCTGTCTAGATGAAGTAAAATTTTGGCTGGACCAAAATTTTTTGTTTTTAAATGAAACCAAAACAGAGATCATTGTTTTCGGGCCCACTGTTAATCCCCAGGCTGCCACCCTCGACCTAGGCAGACTAGCGGCGTTTAGATCCTCAAGTGTTCGGAACCTGGGCGTTCTACTGGATGAGTCTTTAAATTTTGATAAACAAATCTCCTCGGTAATAAGCTCTAGTTTTTATCACCTACGTCTCTTGTCAAAAGTCAAACCTTTTCTTAATCCTAAAACTCTTGAGATGGCTGTTCATGCTTTTATTACCACACGTGTAGATTACTGCAATTCACTTTACTGTGGTATCTCGAAATCCCAAACTGCTCGTCTGCAATTGGTGCAAAATGCCGCCGCAAGATTCCTCACAAATAGTCGTAAAAGTGATCATATCACCCCAATTCTGCGGTCTCTTCATTGGTTGCCCGTTAATTTCAGAACTGAGTTTAAAATCCTGTTATTGTGTACAAAGCTTTATGCAACCAAGCACCTAGCTACCTAACTGAACTGCTACAACCGTATACTCCATCGAGAAGTCTCAGATCAGGCGAACAAAATCTGTTACAAGTCCCTCACTGCAGACTTAAACGCAGAGGGGATCGAGCTTTTTCTGTGGTTGGGCCTCGGCTGTGGAACAATTTGCCCTTAGACGTTAGGATAGCCCCTTCTGTGATCTCTTTTAAGTCACTTTAAAAACGCACTTGTTTTCTTTGGCCTATAATTAAGGTTGTTTATGTATGAGTATCTTTGTATATACATATACCTATATGTATATGTGTGTGTGTGTATGTTTATATGTCCTTTCTGTTGTTTATTTTTGATAACTCTATGATTGCTTGTGCTTCTTCCGTTCTAAGCTGTTCTTATCTTTGCTGTACTGTTCTATGATGTGCTGCTATGCATGGTGTTAGTGTCTTTTAATTTTGTTGTTCTGTAAAGCACTTTGGTCAGTCATTGGCTGCTATAAAATGTGCTATATAAATAAAATGAACTTGAACTTGAACTTGTCTTTCTTTTATAAAACATACAGCTATTTTAAATTTAAATTATTTTAAATTATATTTTTATCACCTTTGAATGAGCCAATTCTATCTACATAACCACGGGTCCCCCTTAAATGGACGTCGCCATC